CAGAAAATTACATATGCGTAAACCTAAGGGAGCTATTGTAATAATGTTATGTCCTATTTTATGTTGAAGAAAGCTTTTTATCATAGATTATAGGGTGTATCTTAACATTTTTGCTTCTGAAACATGCCAAACCAGAAATTAGAGGTTTCATTTTATTGCATTTTGGTTCTACTTATTAAAAATTAAAAATTATGTGTTAACTTACGTTCTGGGCGAAAAATTCAAATAGAGAAGGGTAGAGTCTCTCTCCCACTTACAGCTGTTTCTTTAGTGTCCTTCCAGAAATTTTGATGGCTCACATATCTTACATCAGTAATATCTCTTATTATTTTTAAAAGCCAATTACAGTGTATATACCCTTCTACAACTTTTCACTTGACGTATCATGAGCAGACAACAGTAGTTTTAAATGAAACAGAAACCCCTGTTTATTCAAGACAACTTAGCTGTGTCATGATAAAAATATCTGATGATAATTGCTCTTAAACAGTTGTTGCACAAACTTGTTAAGGTGATGGAGCATCTGGAGCTCATGATGCTCTTTGTGGAGCATCATGAAATACTGATATGTTCTGTCCTATTAACAAGAAATGTGTTTACTAACAGAAAATATGCCCGTATTGTATTATGAAATAAAAAACCACACCAAACTTCAGTGTATGTTCAAAATAAGAAGGTGAAAATTAGTGAAAATTAGGTCTGATTTGCTAACTTGCAGTTTTTTTCATTAATATTTATTTATTGCTTATATATGTTTCGTAATTGTGCATATTTTTGCTTTGTCATATGCTAGCTCCCACTAGCAGATAGTGCCTAGAGACAGCAAAGTTTTAGTGGGAAAAATATTTGGAAAAGAAGCATAAATTTAAGAAAATTCTATGAAATTGCTTAGTGGGGTATGTGTATGAGAAAGACTGCTGTTAATTCAGTTTTATTGGTAGAAAATCTAGCTCCGTTTGCCCAGCAACACTGTTCAGTGGGAACTTCTCTTCTGAGCTGTTGGTTTAGAACTTTTGAACTATCTGCAGAGATCTCTTAGCACCTGCTGTTATAACCTAATCCCTAGGAGCACAGATAAGGTAGCTCACTTTCCTCTTGGGTCACTTAGATCAGTAGCTTGACTCTACCATTTGATTTTATTGCAACCCTAATCTGTTTTCTTCTCTAAATCAGGTGTTAAATAAGATGGCATAGAGTGATAGAGACTACTATAGGTTTTTATTAGCGTCATAGTATCTTAGGGTTAGAAGAAGTCTTGTCATCTACTCTAATATCCTGCTGAGGACAGGAGTTCCATTATATGTAGATTGACCATTCACTTTATCAAATTGGAACATTTTTGGGAAAGAAAGGGGTGGGAAAAATGCTAAACTGGGTGGGACTCTGGAACAACAGGTATAAAGTATAAGTGTCCTGGGAAAAACAGGTGTGTGGTCATCCCAGTTATATCACAGCCTTGCCAGATCATCATTCAAACTCTTCTTGAAAATATTTGTTGACTCGCAAAAAGACTAGTGGCATGGGTAGCTCTAATAATGAAAAGTCTTTTTATTGAGCTAAAATTTATCTCATTGCAACTACTAACTCTTATTTCTAGATCTGCCCTCTGATGCTAAATATAGTCATGATATAGTAGTATACAAAATACATTAGCTCTTTGGGGCTGGCCCGGTGGCGCGCTGCTGCAGTGCGCTGCTTGGGAGCGTGGCGGCGCTCCTGCCGAGGGTTCGGATCCCACATACTGACCTGCTCACTGGCTGAGCGAGGTGCGGTTGTAGCACCGAGGGTTGCGATCCCGTTGCCGGTCCCGGTCCGGTCCGGGCGCAACACTGAGGGTTGCGATCCGTTGCCGGTCACAAAAAAAGACAAAAAGGGGGAAAAAAAATACATTAGCTCTTTAAATAGCTTGTTATTTTACAAGTTTAAAAATGGTTAAATTTTTTCTTTTAACAAAATCTTGGAGTTCTTCCCCTGTAGTTCCAACCTATGCCCAAATTAAAACAGAAAAGTATAGAAAATAAATGAGAAGACAAATGGGGGGAAAAAAAGCCATACTGCTGGCCAGTCCACTAGGCCCTGATGCAGGGCACTGCTGCTGAGCAACACTTGATAGCACATCTATATGTTCTCATCTTGTTACTTTGAGAAAACATTCAGTGAGGTCTCTGTCTTCTCAGAAATGAAGCTTCCAGTTACTACATTAATATTTTATCACCTTAAGATAGAATGAAGGACTATACTATAGGAGATAAGACAAAGTAAAAGAAACAATAGTTTATACACAGGAAGGCTGGACTTCTACCTAGGTAGAGTTAATCATAATGCTTACAGTTTTCTTATTAAAAACACTCAGTATACATCTATGAAGACTAGCTACAGATATTTTTAAGACAGTTCCCTTGTCATCTTTTTTTCCTTCAGGCAAAAAATTTGTAGTTTTCAGTATTCATTTGGGAAATGATTCCCAAATGGCATTGTCTAATTTTTTAAACATGAAGTTTGATTTAACTCTTGTGTGGATTTATTTAAAATGCAGTCCAAGAAGGTTAATTTATAAAGGCTTAACAAAGAAGTCAGAATTACAATGGTGCATTTAAATAAATTGGAATTATATGCTACAGTGTGTAGAGGTTGTTGACTGAGTTATTGGGTTTTGTTGTTGACGTGTAGCAAATGTTCACTGTATGTTATAATCTTGTAAAAATAAAATTGTAGGGTTAGGTAGGACAGTTGAAATAAATTATGGTATGTTTTACAGGTTCCAAAGGTTTACTTTGGAGATCATCTGGAAAAAGTGTCTGTATTTATTCTTTTCATTGTAGTTATATGAGTAAATTTTGACAGGTTTTAAAAATGAGTTGGTCATTCTGGGGAGCAAGACTATGTTTTTGATGTGTTGAGGAGTGAATGTTTCATGAGAGGACCTGAAGGAGAGCTGTTTTGTCATATAAGGTTTTTTCTTCAGTCAACTTCATTGTATCTACATTCGTAGCTTTAATAGGAAATGTGGAAAAGTGGTTTTCTCTTCTCGACACCTTCACTATTACTTGTTTCATTGATATTGCCAAGTAAACATCTGTACTTTTATTTGCCTTACCTTGCTCATCTAACATTTTTGCTCTTAAAAGTATGATCAGTTGATGATTAAATGAGGAATTCTCCTGGGTACCATGTAATGACAAAGCATGGCAGATGCTTGGTAATATAGGTGCAAAATGTTGCTAATGAAGAGGGTAGTAATTTAGTGTTTACTCAGAAACATGCTGCAAGTAAATGTCACAGGAAATTCACTTTATGATTATTTGACCTTAGAATTCAATTTCCGTGAATTGATTTTATTATATAAACCTTGGTGCTATGATGTCTGTGGGAAGAGTTGTCTTAGTAACCTGATAAATGATTTCAGGTATGTTTATGACAGTTTTGTTAAAAGTTATAATACATTTATTTACTCACAAACATGTTCTGCTGATGTGATCACTTACCAAGACAGATGTAAACAGCAATATAGTAAATTGGCCTATTTTACTTTTTATATATATTTTTTATTTTTTAGAGGCAAGTAAGTGATTAATTATTGGACTGATAGAGAGCACTGCATAATTTCTGTTTTGAGTTCATGAAATAAAGTATACTACATAAAAGGGAAGAAGTGGGAGACTAGTATTTATTAAATGCCTTATGTGTGTTAGTTGTTATGCTGGATGCTTTCCAAATATTATTTTACAACCCTATTAAGATTTGGGGATGCATTCAGAACTTGTAAGTGGACTCTGAGGCACAGAAAATATAAATTTGTCCAAGCTTGAAAGGTAGAACAAGAATTTGTATGCTGTTCTTTCTAAACTCCAAAATCCATGTTTGTTTTGCTACATCACAACACTCATATTTGTATGTGTACTAATGTACTAGCTTTGTGACAAAATTTCTTTGGGGGATTATTTTTAACATTGAATTTCTTAAGGTTATAGAAATAAAATATGAAAATCTAATAAAGTTGAAAACTTGTAGTTTCTTTTCAAATTGAGATTCTAGTTTTAAAAGTATCTTTAAAAATATTTTAATAAGACCTCCTTTCCAAATACACTTAAGGATCAATTATAGCACCTTCAGGATGAATCACTTTTTGTAGTATTGATGCTTTTGGCATGCATCGTATTAATTTGCCTGTGTGTAGTTATTGTCCTAAAGATGAGATGACTATTTCAACGGTTATTATAAATGAAGTAAAAGGTTTAATTCCTGACTTTACCCTTCCTAGCTGTTGTGATGTTTGGCGAGTTACTTTGAGTCTCTGTACTTCAGGGTTGGGTTTTTTTGTTTTTTTTTTTCCTTCTTATAATTGGGAGTACTAACAGTCTTAATATCATAGCTTCGTTGTGAGGAATAAATGGATCTAATGATTAAAGATCTTAACATATTATTAGCACTTATTGAACTCTTAATGAATTTGTTGTGATGAAATACATTTTCTAGAATTTTATTTATACATTAAATTATTTTGCATTATAAGTATTTTTTCTTGTACTTAGGAAAACCTACTTAGAGTACTTCACATTTTTAGAATATTTATACATTGTTATTCCATTTTATTAATTTAGTTTCCATTTTCAATTATTCTAGATTCAAGTATAGTAGAAATGATATTGTGGCTATGTATTTTGGCTTTTCTTTTTAGTATATAGTAATCGATACATGATAGAAACTTAATATCTACTGTAGGATTATATAAATTTGAATCTATTTTGAATCATACTTTTTTCCTTTATATATTCTTAACAATTTCAACTTCATCTTTATTGTAAAGAAACTTCAAAATTCTAAACTTTTAAATGACTGATTACACCTTTTAAAGATTTTATTCATCTTTTTAAATACTATTTTACTTAGTGTTTGGCCAAAAATAATTCTTTGCCTGAAATTATCGTTAAAAATTAGGCTAAGTTTTAAAAAAATAATTAGCACTTCACTAATGTTTTCTTTTTCCTTTGTTCTCTTAGCTTCACAATGAAGAGGATAATTTAGAATCATCTGTTACAGAGCAGCCATCCACTTCAAACCCAACACCACAAATTGTGCTTACTGCTCCTTCAGCATCAGCACTTGAAACTGACTCCTCTCCTCCACCTTATAGTAGTATTACTGTGGAAGTACCTACAGCTTCAGGTATGACACAGCTAGTAATGTTTTCAGTAGTTCATTTTTTTTAACAATATGGTTTTGTGTAATTATCAAGTCTGTTAATAGGCTTCTAAACATATGTACACACATTTTCTTTTTTTTTTTTTTTCCTTTTTTGTCTTTTTTCGTGACCGGCAATGGATCGCAACCCTCAGTGTTGCGCCCGTACCGGACCGGGACCGGCAACGGGATTGCAACCCTCGGTGTTGCTCCCGCACCTCGCTCAGCCAGTGAGCGGCCGGTCTGTATGTGGGATCCGAACCCTCGGCGGGAGCGCCGCCACACTTCCCAAGCGGCGCACTGTAGGAGTGCGCCACCGGGCCGGCCCGTACACACATTTTCATATGTGTATATTCATACATACACACAGGCATACATGAAGGTACTTCAAAAAGTTCATGGAAAGATTTGTATTATCTTTTAAATGTATTTTTTCATGAACTTTTTGAAGTACCTTTATATAAATGTACAAATATATATATACATACACACACATGCATACATAACATACATAATGTGAGTGTATATGTGTACATACTTACATAGTCTGAACAAGGGGTTACTGATGATGAGTGTAAGTGGGAATGTGGTGCATATATGTGACTGGAGGTGAAGGATGTACATAGAATTATTCCATATGCATGATAATAATTCTTGAATACAAGGCAGTAATTTCTGCTTGCTACTGTTCATCTATCCATTCAGGTCATTCTAAAGAACTAATCTCATCTTTTTCTCTGGCCACAATTTGTATTTTCTTAGCAATGCTAAATTAGTCATTATGATGACTTTTGTATACTATTATGTATTTGAGTACTATTTCATTTGTATGACTTGTATGATTTTGTATACTATTATAATTTCTCTAGTATTCTAATAACTTCTAAAACTAAATTCTAAGTAACTTCTCTAAATATTTTATATATTCATTATGAAATATTTATTTTAAAAATCAGTAATTAAAAAACATTTTAACAGAGAAAATCCTTCACTAGACTATTTCATCTTCTGTATTTTTTCATTTCTGTAATTAATGTAATCTACTTTCTCAAACTCATGCCAGCTTTCTCTGGGTACCATTTTTGCATTTGGAATGTGTAAAAAGACCCAATATTTCTTCCACCAAATTTTTTTTTTGTATAGTTACTGAAATCATCTTCTCCTTGAAGATTTTCTTACTCATTAAATGAGTAAGCACTTCCTCCCCTTATATGTATATCATGTTTATTTGATAAATATGCTTGTTTAGTGCCCAGTTTCATGCCCAGTTTTTATATTGATTTCCAACAACTTTATTTGTTATTTGATAAATATGCTTGTTTAGTGCCCAGTTTCATGCCCAGTTTTTATATTGATTTCCATATCTTTTATATCTTTTATTTATATCTTTTATAAATAAGATTTAACAGCTGGTTTGGTGCTTGTTAAAATGTGCTATGTGCTAAATTTTCTACAATATTTTACAAGTGTCCAGAATGTAGTATAATGAATTTACTATTCTAGATTAAAAAAAAAAAAATGATTTGAGGTAACCGTGAAGAAAGAAAATGAGTTGTTTTCCTGAGGATGTTTATGTCTGAGTAATGGAAGGTGCCAATTTTATGTGTAACTGCTATCACTTTGTTGTGGCTACTGTTGCTGTTGCTGAATAACAAATGACCCCAAATTTAATGGAGTAAAATAGCAATCATTTTTTGTTATTATTTCTCATGGTTCTGGGAGTGGGCAAAGCTCAACTTTGCCATTATCTCGTAGGGTTTCATGTGATTGCCATCTGATGGTGGTTGGGGCTGGAGTCATGTCAATGGCTTTCTTTTTCATATTAGATGGTTGATGCTGGCATCACCTACAACCTCAGCTGGGGCTATTGGCCAGAACAACTGTTATGTGGCCTCTTGTTGTGGCCTAGGCTTCCTCTCTGAATGGTGACTGGGTTCCAAGAACAAGCACTCTGAGAGTGAGCCAGATGGAAGCTATATTACCTATTACAATATTGCCTCGAAAGTTACATAGAGTCACTTCTGCCATACTTGTTTTGTTAGAAGTGAGTCAGTAAGTGGGCCGACCCCGTGGCTCACTTGGGAGAGTGCGGCGCTGGGAGCACAGCGGTGCTCCCGCCACGGGTTCGGATCCTAAATAGGGATGGCCGGAGTGCTCACTGGCTGAGCGCGGTGCGGGCAACACCACGCCAAGGGTTGTGATCCCCTTACCGGCCAAAAAAAAAAAAAGTGAGTCAGTAAGTTCAGCTGTTATTCAAGCAGAGAAGAATTAGTGTTCACTTCCTTTTTTTTTGGTAGCTGGGCAATACAGGGATTGAACCATGGATCTTGATGTTATCAGCACTACTCTAGTCTCCATTTCTTGATGAGAAGAGTTTTAAAGAACATGTAGATTAACTTTAAAAACTACCGTAACTGCATACTTCCTCTTACCCCTACCACCAAACCTTTTCCTTCTGTAGTCCTCCCATTTCAGTAAATGGCTCCAATAGGCCAGAAACCTTGGAGTTATCTTTTTGGTAACTGATCATAAAGATATATGGCTTTTCTCCATTAATTTTTGATGCAATGAAATAGGTTATTGGTAGATTTCTTTAAGTTAATACATCTCTATATTCTGGAATAAATTGTTTGTCATGTCCTCTTCTAGTCTCTTCTGGATTTAGATTTGTTAATGTGTTATTTAGAATTTTTGCAGCTTTATTAAGTGGGATCTATGACTTTAAGCACTGTCTTTGTAGTTTTGGTATTAAGCAACATAAAGTGAATTGAGAAGTGTCTCATTTTTCTGTGATCTGAAATAGTATTGATGATGTAGTATATCATTTTTAAAGGTTAGATAAATTTCAGCTGTAAAAGCAGTTAAGCCTGGTACCTACATGTTCAGTTATTTTTACAGTCTCCTCTGTGACTACCAGTTTTTAAAATTCTTTTTTTCACCTTGTGCTGAACTGTCATTCATGAAAATAATTGAGCACAAGAACTGAGTAATTCTAGGATTTGGGGTCTCTTAGTGAAAAATATTAATATTTTTCTTCAGCTTTGTAATCAGTGTTGTTTTATTTTATTTTTTTATTTTATTATTTCTTAATTTACCATTTTAACAATTTTATTTCCTTTCTATTTATTTTTATTTTTTATTTTTTGGCAGCTGGGCAGTATAGGGATCCAAACCTGTGACCTTGGTGTTAGAAGGCTGTGCTCTAACCAACTGAGCTAACCAACCAGCCCGTTTTATATTTTAAGTATGGGCTGTGCTGTTTTTCTGCAGTCACCATTAGGTCACTATGGCTGGTTTTTAAGATCTGTGCAACATCAATAATAATATGTGACATTTGTATAATGCTTCACAGTTTACAGAGTCTTGAATACTCTTCTGTTTCATCTCATAATAGCAAGTAATAGCCTTGCTGAGTCAGTTTTATGGATGAGAAAGAGGATCTTCATAGTACTTAAGCGATTTGCTTGAGGTCACACAATTTCCAAGAAGAGGATTTGGAGCTGGAATTCCTCAGACTTTGAATCCACTGGTTGAGAACCACTGCCTTAAATTTAGAAAGAAAAATAAATAAAATTAAAAAGCAAAAATTAAAGCCATAGCAATTTAGTTCTCCTTCCCAGGTTTCTTCTATCAGTGATGGGGATTTTTTTTCTAACGTGAGTGTTAAAACTTAAAAAAAATTTATATACTTGTTTGTTATCATGAGAAAAGATCCCATCTCCTTGGATAATGTATGTGCTTATTTTAGGTTTTAAAATTTACAATTTTAATGTTAGTGCCTTCAAATTTATAACCATCGTTTTCACTTAGATTTTGCTTCTACTCTATTCTCAGAAGTAAAGAGATCTATTAATTTGACTGTGTGTAGTATTTTTACATCCTGATAATAAATCTTTTCTAAGAATTGATGACCCTTGTGTCTTCTGGTGGGTAACATTTAGTATTATATTGCTATTACCACTTCCTCTCATTATATTAAAAATGACCTAACCTCAGATTCTTAGCTTTTATTGATAGCATAAACAATTATTTTAAAACCTATATACATGAAAATACAATTGGAAAAGTATTCTAGATTAAAATGTGTTTTTATGTTGGAAATGCATTAAATTCTGATAAAGATAGAGAACATTATAAACTAATGTAGAAAATATAAACAAACTGTAATTAGAATAGAGGAAATTACAAAAGTGATGTCAAACATTGTGGTGTGTACTACTTTTAGAATCTACCTTTTTTTTTTCATGTCAGGAATTCTAGCGTATGCCCAATCAGTTGATTCACCTGTATTGTTTTACTTATACTGCTTATGTTAGAAATAAGTGATAAAGTTTTATTTTTAAAATAAACAGTCTGTATTTACTGTGGTAATGTATTTCTGGAGATCATATTGCAGAAATAGTTTAAAATTGGGGAGGGAGAACTACTTCATGAAAAGAAAATCTAAAGAAATAGGTGGATGTGGGAAAAATGGGAGGAAAAGGGAGAAGAGTGAAAAAGAGTAAAAATTTGTCAATCTTTTAGCAAAGGAAAATATTGAGTTTGTTTAAGAGATTAGGGCAGTTGTTGAAATCAATATGTGTAGAAGAATTCCCCTTAGATGTTATCAGAGTGAAGTATTTGGAGTCAGGAACTCTCTGAGTCTGCCATTTACTGGTTGTTTAGTATTAGGCAAGTCGCTTAACTGTTCTGAAACTCAGAGCTGCTAAAATTAATGTGTATAGGAGTGATATATGAAATGGTTACTACCATACAAATGTTTTTTATTATTCTTGGTATTTTTTTTTGTTTTTGGTTCCTTTTTTGGCTGTGAGACAATGGACAAGTAAACTAAATTATTTATGCATACTAATAAGCACATAGAGGATGCTCATATATGGTGAGCATCATATATTACTTCCCTTGTTATCTAGCACTCCTTTTCAAAATCTTATTCTTGAGGTTCTTATTTAGTGTATCACCTTTTAGATGATATTTATCAGTTCTTTTTATAATAAATATAGGACTAAAATAATATATAATTGTAATAGCAATTACATATATACAAGGGGTCTTCAAAAAGTTCATGGAAAGATTTGTATTATCTTTCGATTCTATTTTTCCATGAACTCTTTGAAGTACCTTTGTATGGCTTATATAACATGGGACTACAATAGCAGTAGCAGCCCTTAGTAGCCTACTGTAAGTTATTAAGTTCCGGTTATGGCTATAAAAATAATGTTAAATAGTTTATTTTTAATGGTTATTTTTTAAAATCCTTCTTCTTCAGATATAGAAGTTTACAGTGAACTTTATCCTGTGCCACCTTCCTATAGTGTTGCTACCTCTCTTCCTACATACGATGAAGCTGAGAAGGCAAAAGCTGCTGCAATGGCAGCTGCAGCAGCCGAAACATCTCAAAGAGTAAGAAAAACTATCATTTCTTTTGATAATATTATTTTTTAAAATTAATATGTACATTTAGTGATATCAAAAATAGTTCTCTGTGTATAAGAGTGGTATAGATTTTTTTAAAGTATTTTTTCTACTATTCCTGTGTGTAGTGTCATTTTTGGTGAAATTGGCATTCTCCTACTTCAGTTCACCTCCATTCTTCATTTCTATTGATCTTCCCCTCCACCCTACCTCAGCTTGTGGTCTTCCTAGATCTTATCTTTACCAATATATTTATCATGCCCTAAATTTTGATTTCAGGCATCTCACATGCTAACCTTTACCTCCCATCCTTCTATCTCACTCACTCTCGTTACCACCCCAACAGTTCTCTTTCACCTCAAGTACATTGACTTCTTCACTGTCCATGTACTTATTTCTCTCCTTACATAGTTTATGTTCTGTGCTCTACCACTATAATCAGGAGTCATCTTTTTTGTACTCATGTTTTATATATTAGTGTAGCCAGTTTAGTGATTCTATGAAAGAATTCAAGCAGGGCTAAATAACACAGAGAAATAAGTTATAAGGCTTTCAGATTATTTTTGTCAGCTACCTTGTTTTTCTTCCCTTTTATCATATCCTACCCTAGAATTTTGGAGTGAAGGTCAAGGATTCTACTTGCCCTTTCTTCCTCGCCATCTTGTCTTAGTAATAGAGAGAGTCACTGAGATACATGTATGCTATTCTGCAGTCAGGTAAAAGGTAGAAGTTACCTACATTTTAGTGTGCAGCAAGGAGGGCTAGAATTTGTTACCTTGTTTTCTTGCTTCAGACTTTAGAGATGTCATTTCAGATCTCTGGATTCATCTCATTTTGTTCAGGAAAAAGAAAAAATCACTTTACCCAGGAAAGCTTAGAATCAGGTGAGGAGCCAAGGGATGTGCTTCCATGTACAACATTCTTCCCTCGCCGCTTTGAGGCCAGAGCCCAGCCAGTAGATCCTCTGAGATGTGAGCATGTTTCCTGGATAGGTTTCTTTCATCAATTACAACCCTTTCCGTAGCTGCTCCCACTTCCATCCTTCAACACACAGAGAGTCAAACATCAACGTAAATAGCTTTGGGCGCAGTTACAAAGTTAGATAAAGACAATAAACCCCAAATTTATTTTTTATGCCTTTTTCCTCTCAGAGAGGGAAACTAAGTCTCTTTAAGACAGTGGCATAAATATAAATTAGTAAGTAGGATTGTTGATGTGTGAGGGGAGACACATAGAGAAGGAGGATAGGTCTATAAAGTAGGGAATATCTGTCAAAATTAACTCAAGATTGCTTGGAAACATATATTTATAAATGCATATGCACATTCTCTCAGTGAAGTAAATTGACAATAACCTCTCTTCTCAGGAGGTTTCTCCCTATAGACTTTGGCAGTGGCAAAAGTCCTTAAAGAGTATTATGGACCTTGGATCATCTACTGCCCTAACTTCCATACAATAGGACAGAACTCTAAAGAGAAAGTAAGAAGCATTAAATCTTACTCTGTGAACTTTGAGAAAAGCAAAAAGGTGATTTTTACACCTTTTGTAGAGAACACTCTTAAGTGTTACTATTCCATTTCTTCACTGTCATCATTTCCAGTACCTTGTTTTAGAAAGTAAATGTGATCGCCAGCCTGTGTTGGAATATGTCCGTAAAGAAAAGTTCCCTGTTTTCACCTGCTTCTGGTATTATTGTAACTCCAGCTTATGGGCATTGTAGAAACTTTCATAGAAAGCAAAGTAGAATTGTATGTAAGAGACTAACTTAGGTACTTGTAAAAAATATTTTAGATTTATCAGTGCTTCTTAATCTAGTGTTCCAGCACCCTCTTTCTGCAAGTACTTGTAAAAAATATTTTAGATTTATCAGTGCTTCTTAATCTAGTGTTCCAGCACCCTCTTTCTGCAAAGTATGAGTGTTTGTATATGATTCTTCACACTTGATTCGGATAAAAAACCGGTCTGTACTTGAAGTTTGCTGAGAATAGATTTTAAATGGTCTTACCACAGAAAACGTTAAACTATGTGAGCTAACTCATATGTTAATTAGCTTGATTTAGCATTCCTCATTGTATACATATTTCAGAACATCATATTGTACACCATACATAAGTACAATTTATATTTGTCAATTTAAATTTTTAAAAATTAAAAAAAGTCTTTCCAATTAGCTATTTGAGTACATTCAATTGTAAATGAGTCTCAGCTGGGAAACTGAAAGCTTATTTCTGAAATCAGCTCTCATTGGGAGAATATAGGTAGTCAAGAGACTTTCAAACAGTACTTTTTCTACTATTTTCTGTTTCTAAAGCGTAGAGTTGCATGTACATTATAGAATGGTTAAATAGATTTATGGAAAGGAACTACTCATTTGTAGTATTTCTATGAAAAATAGTTGAGTTCCAAATCATTCACTTTATAAAACTTTTCAAACATGTTTTGATCATGAGGTAGGCTCATCTTATAACCTTATAGCGGGTAGGGTTCATTTTTTTGTAACTTGCTTTAAATTGTTCCAGTAATTTGTCTTTTCACATAAGAACTAGCACTTGATAAATTGTGATCAACAGGACAGAGATCTTACATTTACATTCCTAGCACCTAGCTATTATCTGGCACATATTTGGTGTTTGATAAATGACAATTGATTAAGTTAATGAATAATTTCTTTTCATTAGCCAATGTGGGAAGTTAGAAAGAAGTACCACCACAATGTTCTATTACAGCTTTACATTTTAAAATATTTTGGTGTCTTTTACCAATTTTAGGATTTATAAATCAATGTTGAATGTAGTCGAAACTGTTGTATAGATAACCATCTTTTATTTTTTAGATATTTTATGTAAATATTTTCCTGTTAATGATTGAGTGAAATTCCATGGAATCAATATGCTATTATAATTTAGTGGCTGTTCCTCTCTAGTGAATAATCAGACTATTTTCAAATATTGGTGGTGGGTTTTTTTGTTGTTGTTGTTAACATTATAAAAGATATCTTTGTGCATGTCTTCTGTCTTTTTAACAAAGGATACCGATAAAATCTCTGGACTGGCATTTTAAAATAGTACGAAATATTTATGCCTTTGCCATCATATTGACAGTGGTATTTTTTTGTTCATACTGTGCTTTAATGTTTATTTCTTAAATTAATTTGAAATTATATAAAATTTTATTAATATGCATTTAATTATTGCCAATCATTAAATTTACCATATATAGTTTGCCTTGGGTATATGATTGCAGAGCCTCAGGAATCTTTGTGCCCAAATAATTATCAACATAACATGGTTTTGAAAGTTCTTTTCTTTCAGGAAAGCAGTATACTTAGTGAGATTACCATGACTAGGTGGAAAGAACATCAGTGTCCTGGATCAAGTTTTGCCTTGACCCTCCTAATTATGTGATCTTGGGCAAGGCACTAGCTTCTCTGACTGTCTCACAAAATCAAAACATTAAAACTTAACTGATATTGAGTACATACAATCTATATGTAAATCAGGTCATGTCACTCATCTGATCAAAATTCTGTAATATCTCTCATTTCATTCATTAAAATCTAAGGTCCTTCAGTGGCCTTTCTGCCTGTCTCTGACCTCATTTCTACCTGTTCTCTCTTGTGTTTGTTTTGATTCAGCCATTCTAGCCTCCTTGCTATTACTCTAATATGCCATGTGCAATCCTATCTTAGAACCTTAGCTCTGGCTTATTACTCTTCTCTTCTGCCTGGGACACTATTCTATGAAATACCTGGATAGCTAACTCTCTTACCTCTTCTTTAAGTTTTTGCTCAAGTATCACCTGTAACCTTTAACACCTTAGTATTTCCAAACTTCTTTTCTTTTTCCCTTCCCTCCCCTTTCTTTTCTTTCTTTCTTTTTTGGACGGGGCATAATAATTGTATAAATAACTTACTTATTATGTCTTTGTTTATCGTCTGGCTTCTCTCACTGGAATATAGGCTTCAGAAGGGCAAGCATCTTTGTTCTGTGTATGCTGGTGTATCCCAAGGACCAGGAAGCAAAGTCTGTAGAATAGGTATTCCATTAATATTTGTTGAATATTCATCAGTAATCAGTGATAACGGGTTTTGTATATACTTTCACAGAAGTTTTTTACATTTAAAAGCAAATACATTAATTTGTTAGTATATTATTTTTGTACACAAAAGGTATTATACTATACTATACAAATGATTTTCACTTAATATATTTTGGAGATTGTTATTAGAATATTAAGAACATCAAGAACTTTTTGGTTCTTTTTTATTTCCTTTTAAATTTTTACCCTACTTGTTGAATTTCATTGGCTAGATATACAATTATTTATTTCACCAGTCTGTCAACAACTGTGAATGGTCTGAGATTTTACCTGATTTGCAAGCTAACTGATTAACTTGTCATAGTTTTAGGGATGCTGGCAGAAGACACGAGACTGCTGGGTCAGAGACAAAGACTTTATTATTCATTGCAATAATAGTAGCCAAACTATTAGCATTTTCTCTTGCCAGTTCCAAGTCCCAGTTCCCACAGGGTGACACAAAGAGGGCTAAGTGAGAACCTCAATGTGCAGTGGATTGTGTTAAAAGAGAGGAACTCTGAGATTAGGGAACTTACATCTTTTCTAATGATCAATAAGAATGCCTACACCTCTGCTCTTAACAGACACACTGTCTCTCTCTTCCAAAGATCTCTGCTATGTAAGCATCCAGAGAAAAGGAAGCCAATGCCTTTGCTTGGAAAACATGCAGAAACCTGAGAGATTCACGGAGAATTATCTCCTAACACAGTCCACTGTTGATGGGCATTTTGATTGTGCTTAATCGTTTGTTCTTATTAACAATGCTGCAATGAATTATCTTTAATACATCATTTTTTATACGTGAGAATGCATGTATATATCTGTACAATATATTTCAAGAACTGGAATTGCTGAATCAAATGGTATGTACATTTTTATTTTTGATAAAAATTGCCAAATTGCCAACCATAGAGGTTGTACCAATTTATACTCTTCCAGTGGTCATGAAAGTACCTGTTTCCTGTTTCATACTAATGCAGAGTGTCCCATCTATCTTCTTGATACCATTTTTATAAATTTGATGTTATTCAACTTTTATCTCTTTTTGCGTTTATTTTTAAAGTTACTTGAAAAAGTAATACTTGCTAATATTTATTGAGTACCTACTCTGCCAGACACTGTACTCATTATTTCATTTTATCTGTGCAGCAAATACACAACATTAGATTTTATTCAAGTTCTTATTCTTACATTTAAGATTATAAACTTGTAATTATTTTAGTTAGCTGTTCTAATGATAAATGTTTTACAGATTCAGGAGGAGGAGTGTTCACCAAGAGATGACTTCAGTGATGCAGACCAGCTCAGAGTGGGCAATGATGGCATTTTCATGCTGGCATTTTTTAGTAAGTGATCTTTCCAAGCTGTGTTTTTGTGTGTGTATTGGCTGTGTGTGTATTTAAAGTAACATAGTGAAGAAAAGCAAATATTGTTAGCATGTGCCTACCTTCTTTAAAATGAATTGTTCCTGATATTGAACTAAAGAATACTGTGATTGTATAAGACAAATCCTAGATTAAACACTGACTGGATAATTATGCATTGCAGCCATTGTACTGGATTCTGTCTGTATAAAGATATATAAGCATATTTAAGCTAAATAATGTTTTATTAGAGAAATGATGGAATACTGACATACATTCACTGCTTACAGAAGCATATGAAATGGAACTAAATTCTGCATTTGGAGCAGAGGACTTCCACTCGAATGTCCTTAAGCCAGAAAAAGGGTTGGAAAAGGGGATATTCTGGACAACTGGAACAATATCATAGTCCTCCTTATTTCAATTCCTACCACAGGTATTGGCACACAGTGAACTTATTAAATAATACTAAAACCTTCAATAAACTTTGAATTCCTAAAACCTGTGGTAGAAACACAGTATTTATATAAGTAAATTTATTAGACTATGATACAGTTAATTTCTGCCCCCAACCCAGGTAAATGATCAAGCTTTCATTCCTTCTTGGATAGAATGCTAATTTAATTCATTTTACTTATAAGGTTTATTTCGATGATAAAACAGAAATTAAATTACTTTTTTAAAGTGCCATATTCAACTTTAAAAATAGAAAATGCATACTTCTTGAGTTTGAGTCTGGAAATTCACTTAATCTTTTCCTCCATTTTTTTTTCTTTTTTATTATACATACATATGGGGTACAATGTTGATTTTCAATAATTGTGTACAATGTGTGGTGGTTATATCAGTATAGTTAGCTTATTCATCATTACAATACACAATCATTCTTTGTGTCTGTTGACCAATTCCTCATTAGCCCCCCTCCCTTACCCTCTCCCCTCCCCTTTTCCACCTCTAGTTTTCTAAAAGTTCAACGTGTTGCTATGATTGTTGTTTCTTCCTTTCTTTCTCTCTGTCTCTCTTTGTTGTTCGTTTGTTTACTTATGGATGCATTTCCTGGTTATAAGTGAGAACATGTGGTATTTCTCTTTCTGTACCTGGATTGTTTCACTTAGAATAATTTTCTCCAGGGTCATCCATGTTGCTGCAAATGGTAGAATTTCATTCTTTCAAAGGGAAAGCTTTCAGCTTTTCCCCATTCAGGATGATATTGGCAGTGGGTTTATTGTATATGGCATTTATTATGTTGAGATACCTTCCTTCTATACCTAATTTGTTGAGTCTTTATCATGAAGGAATTTTGAATTTTGTCAAATGCTTTTTCTGCATCTGTTGAGATGACCATATGGTTTTTCTTTTTTTTTTCCTTTTTGCCTTTTTTTTCGTGACCAGCAACGGATCGCAACCCTCAGTGTCGCGCCCGTACCGGACCGGGACGGGCAACGGGATCGCAACCCTCGGTGTTGCTCCCGCACCTCACTCAGCCAGTGAGCGGCCGGTCTGTATGTGGGATCCGACCCCTTGGCGGGAGCGCCACCGCACTCCCAAGCAGCGCACTGTAGCAGTGCGCCACCGGGCTGGCCCCATGACCATATGGTTTTTGTTCTTGACTTTGTAGATGTGTTGTGTCACATTTATTGACTTGCATATGTTGAACTATCCTTGCATTCCTGGGATGAATCCCACTTGATCATGGTGTATAATCTTTTTGATATGTTGATGTATTCTGTTTGCTAGTATTTTGTTGAGGATTTTAGTGTTTAAATTCATCAAAAATATTGGCCTGTAGCTTTCTTTTTTTGTTGTTATCTTTGTCTGGTTTTGGTATCAGGGTGATGCTGGCTTCATAGAATGAGTTTGGGAGAATGGTTTCTGTTTCAATTTTTTGGAATAGTTTGGAAAGAACTAGTATTGATACCTCTTCAAAGGTTTTGTAGAATTTAGCAGTGAAACCATCTGGTCCTGGACTTTTCTTTGTTGGAAGATTTAGAACAAGACAAGGATGCCTGCTCTCTCCACACTTATTTAACATAGTATTGAAAGCACTTACCAGAACAATTACACAAGAGAAAGAAATAAAATGCATCCAAATAGGTAAAGAGGGAATCAAATTGTCCCTATTCACAGATGACATGATTCTACATCGACAAAACCCAAGAGACTCTACCAAAAAACCTCTTAGAGTTGTTAAATGAATTCAGTAAGGTTGCAGGATACAAAATCAATATATAAAAATCAGTAGTGTTTTCCCTCCATTTTGAAATGGGTTCTTCCTTTCTTTCTTTTATGTCATCTGCTGAAGAAGAGGTGGTGGTTTGGGGAGGAAGGCAGGCAAATATATTTTTCTTTTCAAATTTTCTAAATTATATTCAGGTTGTTAACCAGTTAATATATATGCAAAATTTAAATCTTAAATGGTTTTAGGTATAATTCTAGTTAGATATGTTAGGTACAATGAAAAGGAAATTAACTCTTTGGTTACAAATGACTATTGTTTTATACTATTAATGAACCATGGTTTTTATCTTTTTTTAGTTCAACTGTTAATACTTGATTTTAATAACAAATTTTCTACATATTATGTTTGCAAAAAAAGTAGATTAAACATTAATTCTTTTCATGGTCATATCTTTTAAGAAATCTTAATTAGAAGAGAAAATCTAAATTTATTGTACTGTTCATAGTATAAATGCTTATTAGGAATAAAAACCTGTTATTTGACACCATCAAATTATTTGGCTCAGAGCTTTGGTCTTATTATTTCTTCATTTCAGTATTTCACTTAACTCCATTATCTTCTTTTTAATCTTTATTTTTTTAGATTTGAAAACATTTTACTGATGTAAGTGTTGTAAATACATGACGTAAATGCTGTAAAGGACATGCTGGATAACTTTATTTTGGGCCAGTAATAGTATACTAATTAATATAAAAATGTATATATTTAATATAATTCATGAATTTTACTAAATTGTTTTTACAACCTATATTTTTTATGCTTTCTATTCTATGTATATTGGACCAATATTATCAGAATAAAATTATATTTTTTACCTTTATTTCCTTTTATACTCTTCTGCTAGACTGTAGGCTTAGGTCTTATTTGCTTTGATAAGCATAGATAGATTTATTTGTAATCACTACCATCTAGTGGCTGTTCTTCAAATTGCAACTTGGTATATTTTTCATGTTTAAACTATTCTAGTTAGCTACTGTTGGTAAAAAGGTCTAGAAATACATTTTCTGTAATGTGGTTTATAACTTAAGCATTTCAGGTTATATAATTTGTGCAAATAAAATTACAGTGAATCAATAAGACTATGTCAGCCAAAATCATTTGTTCTTTTAATTCTTGACTTCTTTGTTTCCAGTGTCTATGTTTCAGTCTCTTACCTCACATAAACCTAAAAAAACGTTTAGAGTTAAATTTGCTAAGATAGTTCCATGTTCTTGCACAGAAAATGTAAAAGAAGAAATATGGATATCCCCTGATAATGTTTTTGCTTTTCATAATACAACAAATACCTCTCATAAGTGCCTAACCTGCATATCTCTGATCTTATTTTTAAGAAATTTTCTAAAAGAATGGAATAGAATCCAGTTATTTGTCAGATAGTTAAACATTAGAAATTAAGATTTGGTTCACTGGATAATTGACCGTCTATGGAAATGAACTTGAACTCTAGTGCTTTAAAAATGTAATGGACTGTGTTTGGCTTTATTCAGAAAACTTTTCCTCCAAGGTTTAGCCATTTGTATCATGTGCAAACCTTCACATCAGCATGCTGTGGTAATAATTAATCACCCAAATTATTCTCATTTTAGACTTGAAGGAAATATAATTGAAGAGAAATTAAGTTATTTGTAACTTTAAAAAGAATTAGAGTGTTTGAAATGTGAATTCTGATTTGTAAAAAATTACCTAACTCTCTTCCAAAGAGAGTACCATTTTGCATTCCCACCAGCAGTGAATTAGAGTTCCTGTTGCTCTGCAACCCTCAGCAGCATTTGGTATTGATAGTTTTATTTTGTTTTGTTTTAGACATTATTATTATTATTATTATT